GAATATTATTATTTTAAAAATATTAAATTTAATATTTATTTAGTTACTTTAAATTATCTTTATGATCTTATGAATATGTTCTTTTTATTGTTTTATGATTTTCTGAACCGTTCAACCAATAACTTTTCATGAACATATATAAATATTAAGATTGGTATTAATTTCATATTAAATAAGTATTAATTCTATTAATACTAAATTAATATTTTATATTGAAAATTAAAGTTTTAAGCTTAGTTTTAAAAAAATTAGACTTTTTTTTATCTCCTTTCATACTATAAAGAAGTTGATTACACTTTAAATACTTTGTAATAATATTTTAATGTAGGTATTTTATTTATTTATCTGAATTAAGAACACAATTACCATATAAATTTTATTTCTTTGGAATTACTAATAAATTTTTTTAAATTACTTAGAAATTATTTTAATATAAGAATGAAAGAATATAATTTATTTTCCTTATATTTTTTTTGTATGAGTTTTAAAAAACTTCTATAATGCTCTATTGTTTTTACTATTCTGTAATTAATTTTATAAAAAATAGTATAATTATTCTATTTCAATACCTAACACAATAATTATTCTTTAACTATAATCATCTTGAACTCAAAACTTATGTAACTTTAAAGGCTATTAATGAATCAAAACTTGGAATGGAACATATGGCTTAAAAACCCTAAGTTAACCGGATCATTTTCTTAGAATCTCACCTAACAGGGTGCAATCAAACATTAAGCTTTTTTATTGTTTGTTGTATAGCACACTTGAATTTAGAGTTGAACTCTAAGTTTATTGTGCTATGAAATAAAGGTTTGATACACTTTCAATCTTATGGGCATTAGCTCTCTATATTTATAACATGAAGTTTAGGCTTAGACCCAAACCAACCCAAACCAACCAATGGAAACTAAATTAATATTTTAAATAGTTGGCCATGCTTTCAACCACTATCCTTATTATACATTTGAAACTACATTAGCATATTAATGGCCTAATGTGAGGAGGTGGGTACCTTATTAATTAGCACAATATGGAGTTTGGGTTTAGACCTAGGTTGGATGTATAACAAGGAGTGACATAGAGTTAAATTAATATTTTAGGTGGTTGGTCATGCTTCAACCACTATAATAGACATGGTAAATTATCACATAACAATATTGACTCAAAATCATAGGGGTTTTCAACACTAACAAATGCAAGTTAATAAGTAAATTTCTTTAGCCAGGTCAAATATGTTTAACTAATAGTATTTAGGAATTATGTCATTATACTCACGATGACTAGTTTCTCAACTAACTTAAGTGGAGACCATGAAAAAAATTAACAATACCAACATTCTGCCATTGTGGTAATAAAGAGAGAATGTCCATAAGATTAACTTACAAATATCTTTTGATATTCAAACTTACATATGCAACATGCTACCAAGATCCTAAACTACCACAATAGTCTAATGACCAATCTTAGCTTTCATGCCCTGGAATAAATCCAATTCTAGTGCCATCTCCTTCCTCCTCTGCTGTGAGTCTTGATGGATCAAAACCCAAGATGTACACTGTGGTATAATCAGTGTTTTTTTATGTATATTCTTATTGTATAGTGATTTGCAGATGAATTATAATATATGGTAAGCAATGTGTATGCTACATCCAAGCCATATCTCATGAGAGAGAACAACAAGATCACAAGTGTCACTTGTACTGTCTCAGAAGGTGTAATGAACAAATTTGTCACTCAAGCCATGTGACATGGAATACTTGACACATAAGTTTAGCAATGCTTCCTGATCTCTCACGGACACAGCCCAATTGCTCTCTACTTGCTACTAGTAGCCTCATGACACAAAACAAGCAGCACATCTGACCAAGCCTTTTAGCACACTGCAGATGCCAACACAGGATGTTCTACTCCAAGTAGAACACACTGATAGAAACACATTTGTTATTTAAACAAAAGAACCCATAGTGAGTTCATATGCTTTTAAGCCCAAGAAATGCTATCTGGGGTGAGGCCCAGCATAACCCTCACTCCCATTGCTTTCCAGGATCTTATACCTCACAAGCCCTAATCCACCATCTCTGATCTTATAAACATAATGGGTTCAGCTGGTTGATCAATATGCTCAATTGAAAGGGCAATGATTGCAAGTTGACTGCTGCAGCAATTTCCTGTGGCTCAAGAGTGGCATTGATTTGCTTTGTGGCATTGATTGCTAGAAATTTTACCTTGGACAAAGTGGAAAGCTTGATAATATTACAATCCAAGGTGGCAAAGTTCGTATCTAGTTGTGTGTGCCTGGTTTGGCAATGCGAGGCCTGCCTTGGCAACGACTTCGTCACGTTTGGAAGAACAAGTGGCCTCTGGTTCTCCCTTGTTCTTGCTTTGAATGCTCTTGCTTGGTTTAAGCTTGAGCTTGCCATCATGCATTAGCTGGAGGCAAGCTTCGAATCGAGCTAGTGCTGGCATTAGATCTGTGAAGTAAACACATGCAAGATCAAGCATGTGAAATCCATCCAGGAAAAAAACAAGTAAAAACCTCTATGGTTTGGTGAAGTTGCTACCGGGTTGTTGAGGTGACAAAGCATTCTACAGTGCTGAATGGCGACACCAACAAATTTTGAATGATCAACATTTGGAGCGAAATCAGCAACAGTGAAGAACCATGGCATGGGGCATGTTTTCGAGTATGAGATTGTCCTGCATGCCACTGACATTTCGAAAGAGCTTGTTTCTTCAAAGGCAGCACTAGCAGGTCATGTGGCCACTAACAGCCCTGGGTGATATTGGGAGAGCTCTATGCAAGGCTTAAGAAGGTTTTGTCTATGTTGTTCGGGGAACAACTGGGCATGAGGAAATCAATTGGAGAGTGGATGAGCTGGAGAGTAGGAAAAGGCAATGCTAACACTGTCTTTTGAAATGTGTAGTTGTCTACATATTGTTTGATAAAAAGTCTTTGGCCCAGGTGCTTGATCTTGGGGATCTTGGGCAGCCCAAGGGATCTCGCCTTTGTTACCAAGATCAAGTGCCATGAGCCTGAGAGTGGGAATTCCTGGGATGGGCGGCTGTACGGCCGATAAGACAAATTTTTCCAAAATTCAATGTTTGAAAGGTAAGGTATAAATATTGATAAAATATAATACACTAAAACATTAAGAGAAGCAATGATAGCCCTTCAAATTAAAATGAAATCTAGCTCATTCAAAATGAAAGGTGGCAACTTCTCATTGAGACTCTACCTTTCAGCTCCAAAATAGGACTTTTAGTTAGATGGCTTTTTCCGGTCCCACGAGCTCTAGGCCACGCATGCGAGCTTGGAGCAGTAGCAAGGATGCTCCAACTGTGCTTGGAGATAGGGAGTTTTGGAAATCAGAAATCGTGGTGCCAGTTACTCTAGTGCTGGATCCGAGAACACCAGGACCTGAGGGTTGCAGCACACAGTGGCAGTGAAAGAAAAACCACACCAAGGCCCCAAAGTGCAAGCAAGCCACCATGTTGAAGTTTGCTTGCCTACTGAGAGTAACGATCTCACTACTAGTTGTGCGACTACTGCTCTACGTGATCTATTTGCCCACTGTCAAAAGATCGGCTGGAAAGAATTGCTGGAGGTCAAATTCTAGCTAAGTGAAGGCACGCTGTGTGCTTCATGGAGAACTAAGGTTGTGTGCGCAAGTTGTGAATGTGGCTTAATTTCTTTAATGAAAAAGGACTATAAAATCAATTGAACCAAAAATGGAAGAGGAAAGGAATTTTTAGCATGTCTCTCAAATCTATGTTCTTGATGTTCTTGAGGGACTTTTTTGTTGTAGGACTATTAGGCAGGAAGCATCTTACTCTCACTTAGGGTTATGTGCCTCTGGTTTGGGTCTACTATAGTTTTTCTCTTTTGAGTCTTCAGGTTTTTCTTTGCATGCAAAAACAAGAATTGAGTATTATCAGGAAGTCATCTTCTAATTTTTCCTTGGATGCCGATGCTACTTGCATGAAGATATTATATATATTCAATTTTTTTATTTACTTTAGAAAAAGGGGCCCAGAATATCCAATATCCTTCAATCTAACGGCTCTCTAATTCATTTATAATCAATAATACTTAAGAGGTATAATGAAATATTCGTGATTGTTTTTCAAACCAAATTAGGGTTCCTTGAGCTCTCCTTAGCATTCTCGACCAATTCAGCAATCAATGATCATTTGAAGCAGGAAATGATAAATCACAAGGCAGATATTAGCAACCACACAGTCAAAGGGCTCCCCTTTTAGGTGGTGATGAGAGTGGCTTCTGAGCTACCAATAAATCATCAATGAGGAACTTTGGTCTTCTTTTTATTATATGGCTGCTCAAAACACGTAATTGGATTGTTTTATTTTTTCTTATGTGTTAATCCAGACATGCATTCTAAACCTAATATCTACCACTAAAACAACATTCTTTAAATACTACTAAGTGATAGTGACCATCTGTTAAACATTAAATTCAATTTGAAGCTTCCAATTTATAATAATTTCAACATTATAAATGCATAATTTTTTAAAAAAAATTAATAAAAATACTTCCCTTTATTTCCCATGACAAGTGACATCACTTTTATATCTAAGATCACTCAAAATATCATGACCTAACATCACTTACCATAAACAAGAAGTAGATTTTAATGTTCTCGTGTTCCATACTTTCGTACTTCACTCTCTTTTATGTCATCAGTGGCACATTGTCAAAGTCAACTTTGCTCTTCACAATGAACTTAATCATTTGAGCATACAAAAACTTCCTCATGGATAACTGCTCGTAGAAGGCTTTGGCTCTGAAGGCAAGCTCGAAAGGGCTGTTCTTGGGCTCCACAGGGCTTGGTAACGTGCACATCGCAAAGGGTGTAAGAACCAAGTTGCGCTAAAGCTTCAGACCATACATAAGAAGTACATCGTGGCCAAATCCTTGCCTTTTGCCTTGAGCACGTATATGCTTTTGATTTGAGGGGGAAACCACCAAATCTGGGCCGTCAAAGCTCCCAAAAACTCCAATGGAGGTGTTCTTGGTGATACTCGCGGCTTCCATCGTATCCTCCACAGCGAGGGCTTTTTCGTCTTCTCCTCGATCACCACCTTTGCAGCACTGTCCAAGCGCAGTCTTCTGGTTTGGAGATTCTTTCGCAGACACTGGAAACGCCCAAGCGGCATCTCCATTCATTAGCGCGGCCGAGTATCTACCATATGGAATGACACACTTTGGAAAGCCTTCGAATCGATATTCTGATGGTCGCCTGGTGACTGATTTCTTCGGTAAGAACTAGAGCTTTTTCCTGTTCTTGCCATTGCTGATACTTAGTTCTTCCTTCCCAATCTCTTCTTTGGCAGCTCAAGCTTTCCGGCACAAGAGCTCGCCCGGTCCTATACTCCAGAGCCTCAACTCAAACTACGAGCACGGGATCGTCTTTGCGGTGTCTGGAGCCACGGCTTTGAACACGAGTTACGTCGTCCCATTCTATCTCCCTGTCCAAGTCGATCAATACCTTCGCTTCGTCAAGGATGCGTATGGAAAGCCTCACCATCACCATGGTAGGATCCTGTTCTCTCGAGCTTGGTTTCATCTTTCCATCTCTGCCAGATAGAAAAACCAAGCTTCCTCGAAAACTTCGCAGTGTACTACACGTCGTCGTTGTCGGCACCAATGATATCTTCGGTGCTTACATCCGGAAGCTAATGGACCCCGGCAACGTAACAGTGGTGATCGTTCCACAGGTCGTCCAAGCGATTTCTCACGCTATCCAGGTACGTCTTTCCTTTGACACCACAAAAAGCTCTTGACTCCCTCGGATGATAACAGACACTGTCCGATAGCGGTGCGAGCCAAATCCTGGTCCTGAATTCTTTCCCTCACGGATGCATGCCTTTGATACTTAGCGTGTTTGGAGACCTGCCCAAGGACTCGCGAGGATGCCTGTCACCTCTTAACGAAGTTGCCGAGGCCTTCAATCGCTCCCTCTACAAGCTTGTCCAGGATTTGAGTTCCAAGCTCAAGAACACCCTCCTCCTCTATGCTGATGCCTTCAAGTTCACTCTAGACGTAATGGACAGGCCCACCGACTTTGGTACGTTTCTCTGTCACTTCGAGCAAGTCTAAGATGATCACGTCGAGCAGGCTTTAGAAACGAAACCAAGACCTCGGCTTGCTGTGGAACTGGCGGGGCTTACAACTTCAACTCAACCAAGCTCTGTGGCAAAGACTTCCAACCCGAGAGCACCACTCTGAAGCCGTCCGAGTTCGTCAGCTGGGATGGCATCCACTTTACCGAAGCTTTCTACGAGCACCTGTCCAAGGCCCTGCTCACTGGGAAGTACCTGGATCCCCCTCTCGACTTCTCGGAGGTTTGCAAACTTGGCAACGTGTAGCTCAGCTCAGCCGGAGAAATAAGTTACGCTCTCTTCTTTTTCATGTTCCGCCACTTGTCCTTGAGATCTTGGCCTGTTCTACTGGGATGAAACTTTCCCATGCCGAATTGAAGTATCGTTGTCCACCTGGAGCCGTACTGCTGATAGCCTTTCTGGAAACAGTATCAAACGTTACAAAGAATAAATATCTCATCGTTTTGAATACCCTGAGTGTTTCTTCTTCCAGTGAGTTCCATACCATCTTCTTGCGACGGACATTAGGAATCGATGCTCTTCCACTGCACGAAGCATGTTAAAGAATAGGAAAAAAAAGTGAAGCGAAAGCATAGTTTACTTGGAATTCGTTTTTCGTGGATAATCACTGTCGTCATCGTCCTCGTCATCTTCTTCATCCGAGCTGCTGCTTCTCGCACGGTGTTTCCGTGCGTGAGCTTCATCTTTCGAGCCCGACGGTTCCTCAACTTTGAGTTGAACTTGATGTTCCACCAGTTTCTCCTTTTCCTTGTCTTCTACTTGCTTAAGTACTTGGTACGATGCTGTCAAGCTTTCAAGCTCTTCTTTAGCCCGGTCAGCTTCTAACTGTGCCTTGGCAAGCTTTTCCATGGCTTTCTTGTACACACACTTCGGACAGGACCAGCGTTCTCCTTCACGAATCTGCTCTCTTGCCATGCACTTTGGATGAAGAGCAATCGGGCAGTCGTCACAGCGGACTAGTTTGCCTCGCAGCTCGCACATGTAGCATTTGTCCGAGTCTTTAGCGCGACCGTCTTCAATGTTCTTCTCTCCTGTCTCCAAACTTTCACGACCATTCTTGTCGACTGTTTTCGGGCCCTCAGGATCATCTTCATCCACTGCCTTCGAGCCTTCACGGCCATCCTCGTCTTCTTCAAGGCCATTTTCAGCAGGCCTACCTTTCTCGACCACCTTTGAGCCCTCTCGGTCATCGTCCGAGTCCAAGTTTATAACTTCTACCTCATGCATCCCCTTTCTTTGTTTGAGCTTCGGCTTAACGTCTGAAAGGGATAGTTCATCGTCGTCCTCAATTAGCATCCTCCTCTTCGACCTGCGTGTGCTGACATTCCCACTGTGAATGATCTTAGGAGCTTCGAAAGGCTGCTTTTCTGGCGGAGCCGACGGTGTAGCGTGATTCTCTGTCCCCCTTTCCTCCACACTGTTCTTCTCACCTTCGCAACTCCCTTCCTGAAATTTTGCGTGCTTTTCTGGCACTGGCGGAGCCGAGGGTGCAGCGCGATCCTCTGTCCCATTTTTCTCCACACTATTCTTCTCACCTTCACAACTCACTTCCTGAAAGTTTACAGGTTGCAGCTCCAAGAGATGATAAAAAGAAAAGACTTACATCGATGCTTCCTCTTCGTGGGGGAGATTTGAATGCCTTGTCCGGGGATCCGTCAATCACCACTGTGGTGTCCTCACTCCCGACGGACATATGCCTCGGAGACAAACGTTCCGGTGGTACCCCATCGTTTTGCTCGTTTTCTTCGTCGACTGGAGGCATGCCTCTTTGCTGCTGCTGCTGCTGCTTCTCCAACGACCTTGCTACAGGCGGGTAAAGCCCATTCGTATAGTCATCAGCAATCTATGGAGGAGAAAGATAAGAAAAGGATCCCAAAGTTTGCTAAGAACATCCCAAGAATTCACGAAGCCAAAAAATCACCTTGTCTAGAACAGGAGCTTCCAAGCCTTGCCTTTTCCTTTGGACGAACCGGAACAACTCGGTCCTGGAATTGGCATCACCAATCTAGGTAGAAACGAGCGTGAGCTTTGGGAGGAAGAACGAAAACAAAAAGAAGAAATGAAGGAACGAACGAAAAAAAAAAATCACTTGCCAGTTGAAGCATGCCGCTAACTTCTTCGTCGGGGGACGCCAGCGCCAAGATAAGCTCCTCTGCGCCGCAATCTCGATCCAAAATCTCTTCCGAGACTAGCATCTCTTGGAGCTGCCGCAGCGCCAGGCCCTTGCACAGCGATGGAATCGCGGCAGCATTGGGAACGTACACTGCGAGCTCTAGAATCCGAGAGCGTGAGCGACGCGAGAAAGAAGATCGCGCAGTGATTACCTCGCAGCGTCTCGGTGGAGACATCGGGCTGCCGCGCGAGTTTGTCCAGTATCCATTCCCAAGGAAGCGCCATTTACCCTAAAATTCATTTGCCCAAGTTTTAGGGTTCTTATGGCGGCGATGGCGATGGAGGTGGATGCTGCCCCGGCGCCAGCGGCTGGAGAGCCGGATCTACCTCCAATGAAGGTGAAATTCGAGCCGCTATCAGCTCACGAGATGCAGGGAGGGAAGGTCCAGTTTAGAAGAATTGCGGTTCCTTCGCACAGGTACACGCCACTCAAGAAGCACTGGCTAGACATTTACACGCCCGTGGTGGAGCAGATGAAAATCGACCTTCGGATGAATCTTAAGGTAAGCGCATTCTCTCCTTTAGGAAGATTTGCTTCATTGCTTGCAAAGAGTTTCCTTGGAACTTGTTTTGATCGGTCGATAGTTTTTTCTTTCTTTGGCCTTCTTTTCGGTGCCCGAGTGGATTGCTTCTAGTGCTTCATTGCTTGTTTCTTTGCAAACCATTTCCATATCGTTCGTGTCCGAGTGGATTGCGGCTTCGATTTTTTACTAGACAAGAAGATGAGATTTGAAAGAACTCTCCGATGTTTTCTCTTTTGCAGACTCGCAAAGTGGAACTCAAGACGAAGAGAGACACTCCAGACACAAGTGCCCTCCAAAAGAGCGCCGATTTCATCCACGCTTTCCTCCTGGGCTTCGACATCGCCGACGCCATCGCGCTCCTCCGCCTCGACGACTTATACGTGGACTCGTTCGAGGTCAAGGACGTAAAGTCGCTCAAAGGCGACCACCTTTCGCGAGCAATCGGCAGGCTCTCCGGCAAAGGCGGCAAGACAAAGTTCGCCATCGAGAACTCGACACGAACAAGAATAGTCATCGCTGACTCGAGAATTCACATCCTGGGAGCGTTTGCCAACATCAGAATCGCCAGAGACGCGCTGTGCAGTCTCATTTTGGGATCCCCGGCAGGCAAAGTCTACTCCCGGCTTAGAACTATAGGGAACCGGCTGGCCGAGAGAAGCTAGAACGCACAGCCAGGTCTTACCGAGCTCAAATTCAGGGAAAAAGGAGAGAGAAGCTCTGGTACGTAGCTACCATTTCAATGCATGCTTCTTGCGTTTGTTTTCGTGTTCTTTTTTTCTCGTAACGTCTTTTGCTCATAACACGTACGCTGCATGATCGTGGCTTGAGCTATTTAATCTCCTTTTCCAGCAAGCTTCTCGCGAAAAGAAAAACAATGGATCACCGCTACATCACTCTCGCGCTGCTCGCACTCGTCACGCTCTCGAGCAAAGCCGGATCATCAGCTCTCAGCCATCTCGCAGCAGCGCGTCTCCGCCTCGCCGCCACCACCTCGGACGATCAAACCGCGGGAAACTCCAGCGTCAGCGACCAGGACAACGGCCTCCACGACTGTCGCGAGTTCTACATCCACGACATCCTCAACGGGACCGAGGCCGGGATGGAAGCCAGCGCTTACTTGATCGCCAGGCCGGCCGAGTTGTTCGCCAATAACTTTGGAGCGATTCTGGTGATGGACGACAAGATCACCATTCACCCCGACTACAACTCGACCGAGATTGGAAGAGCTCAAGGGACGTACACGGTTGTGAATCACTACGGCTCTCCCGAGCTGCTCTACGAGTTTGCGGCCGTGTTTAATGGCGGGGAGAAGATCTGCTTCTTCGGACACAGGCCGATCGACGAGCCAAGCTCCGAGTTAGCGGCGTTTTCGTGTGGGGGACACGGAAAACTCACGCAAGGCATAACTCTTGCTCGCTTCTCGGCCGTCTACTTCTCTCCCTCGGGGTTGAACGAGATCATTCGTGTAGTGATGTGTAAATTCATCTGATCGAATTAATAATTCTATTAATTAGCTAAACTTTATTACTTAATAAACTCTATTATCCAATTATGATATCCGACGTACATCCATCTAACGTTCCAGCCGTCCATCGAACGGCCCTCCTTCCTTACGGACAATAGCTGTATCCAAGCCGTCCATCTAACGGCCCTCCTAGAATGGGAACCATTTTGAAAAGCAAAGTCCACGTCAGTAGCCCTTCAAATATTTTGAGCGAGTGGTGAGCGGCAATTCACAAGAACGCGTCGCTCTCCTCTCCATTCCATTGCGCTAGGGTTTCTTGCGATGCAATGGCGGACGACAATTTGCCAAGGTGAGCTTTCTTGTCTAGCGCTGCTCACAGGCATCGGCAGCCATGTGGCGATGGATCGATGCGTGTTTTTCTTGATCGAAAAATATTTTGGTGATTCCAGGCGACAACGGAGGGGATCTCAGGCTGGAGCTGTGAGCTTCAGGATGAGCATCACCGCAAGTAATTCTCTTTCCTTTCTAGCCTGGACAGTAGAGCGGGATGTAGCGAGTATGAAACATCCCATCCAGATAGAGTCTTCCAAACCTCCTGTTTAAGCATTTCTTATGTTTGAAAAGCCGATGATGCGACATCCCCTTCGGTTTAAGTAGACCAGCTTGGTGAGTTTGAGCAAAGCATCCACAGGGAAAGACTTGAGTTTCCAACAGCCTTCCAAGTTCAAATATGATAAATTTGTCAAGTTGCCCATGTGGCGATGGATCGAAATAGGTTCAAGTGTCGTGGACTGGGCGATTTGTGAGGCCTCAGCGAGCTGCTCCACGCTCAATTGAAAGTGGAGGCCGACCGATTAGAGAGTGTTGCCCTGTAGAGCTCGGTACGCACACAGCTTCTATGTGTTCAATTGAATGTGGTCAGGACCAACAATCGAATGCGGTTGGTTGACTGATTGTTGGTCCCAACCGGGTTCGGCTGGAATCCCGACCGCTGCTGAATGCAGTCAGCCGAATGTGGTCGGACAGCTCCATTTAGTGATTCTGTTTGGCAATTATAATGGCGATCGCACTCGCAGGGGCTAGATTTCCGATGCTGCTACGGCTATTGCCATTGCCACTGCATCTCCACCACTTTGCTGGTTCTCCTGCTACTATGGAGCAATCCATCCATCCACAAATGCCCAGCCCAGCAACATTGAATCCAACCAAGAGGGCTATAGGAGCTGCTGAGCTCTATAGAGTGACACTCTCTAGTCGGTCAGCCTCCGCTTCCGATTAAGTGTGGAGCAGCTCGCTGAGGCCTTGCAAATTGCTGCTTGAATTATAATTTTTGCCCTAAAATGGAAATTATGATTTCACAAATTTGATTCTAGCAATTTTAGCAATTCTGGCACAATTAAACAATGGCGCCTGATTAGGCATGGTCCCATATTGCCAAACTCACTCTTATGCTTCCGGCAAAGGAGCTATACATTGGAAATGTAATTATTATGGAAAAATGTATGATGAGTAGTAATTATTTTCTATTCAATAAGACAATTCTAGCCAACATGTTTAGAATCCCTTTTTATAGACATACTTCTATAGTAGGTCCCCCTATGTAAAAGCTCTTTGCTGGTTTTGGGCTATGCTCAATTTTTAGTGTTTCGTTGGTAAATAAAAGACCCTATTAAAAAATCAGGTAACAGTTGAGGAGGTAGAGAGTACCGCATCTAGCACAGATTCTGACTTAAAGGCGTTCAGTCATAATCCCACACATGGTAGCTTCATGCTATTGACTTTTCTACCAAGTGCAATTACCAATTATGCAAATCAATGGTTCCTCTCGTACTAAGTTGAATTACTATTGCGGCACAGTTCATCAATAGGTTAAAACTAACTTGTCTCATGATGATCTAAATCCAGCTCACGTTCCCTATTGGTGGGTGAACAATCCAACACTTGGTAAATTCTGCTTCACAATGATAAGAAGAATTGACATCGAAGGATCAAAAAGCAACATTGCTATAAATGCTTGGCTGCCATAAGCCAGTTATCCTTGTGGAAACTTTTTTGACACCTCTAGCTTCAGGAAGAGGCACAATAAGTTGTAAACTCTTTAGTTTGGACTTCTCGAGTGGAGGCATCACCTCTAGCTTCAATTATCCTTTAGTGTTTCCAACTTTGAAACTAGAGGTGTCAAAAAAGTTACCATAGGGATAACTAGTTTGTGGCAGCCAAGTGTTCATAGCGACATTGCTTTTTGATCCTTCGATGTTGGCTCTTCTTATCATAAGTCTTCTTTTCCCACTGATTCTTCTAAGCTCGTCCCCTTGGTTGAGTTGGTTTGGTTTGGCCTAATGCTTTGGTTTGGTTTGGTTTGATCTAATGCTTTGGTTTTCCTACTTTTATTAATGTGGTTTTACTAAGAATGTTTGTTCTTTTATCAAAAAAAATTTGTGAACCGTTCGGCCATTTAACACTTTCATGGCCAGTCAATAATCATGGTCAGCCAGTTGGCCGGTCGTCATTTGGAACAATTGGGACCAACCTTGGTAGCAATTGTGTTTTTTTTTTGTGTGTGTGATTGATTGAATTGTCGTATTTCCAGACAGGGAAGGAAGAGATCATGGAGACGAGCTTCGAAACAAAGAGCCTCACATCCACTACTTGAGATCACAGTGATCTTTGTGGTGAGTGTCAAGACCCCCAACAAGATCATGACTGGAAAATGCAGAAGACAAAAAGAAAAACTAATGGAAATGAGGAAGAGGCATTAAACTGGTGTTGATTCAGAATGTGGAGAAATGGAACAAGGCTAACCTATATATACTATAGGTTGATGAAGCTCCATCACTCTTGGATCGAGGATGGCCTAAATATAGCTGAGGTCGAGGAGGTGCCATGTCATCATCAAGAATGTGGTTCGAGACTCAAGAATTGTACGGGAAATCAGAGAGTTAGGAATAGGGAAGTGTCTTGAGAGTCAGGAATGTGGTCTGCGGGTCAGGAATCCAATGAGAGTCAGGAATGTGGCAAGAATTGGGGGATTCCTGACAGCACCCCCTCCTCAAGAACGAGTGAAACGAGGATGTGAATGAGGACGAAGAGGAGGATGAGAGGGGCGGCGAGGGGTGGGAGATGGAGAATGAAAAAAATGAGGACTGGGTTGAGAAGGATAGTGGTGGTGGAAGTCTTGAACAAGGTCAGGAGAATGAATCAAGTTGTCCATAGGTTCCCAAGTGCGTTCCTCAGGTCCGTAACCCTTCCAGTCTACCAGATAGTAGAATTTAGACCATGAGATCTGTCCTGAACCTCATACTCAAACCCATCCTTGAGCTACACTAGTGGAGGTGGAGGAATGACCCGATTTGGAATAGGATTGGGAATATAAGGCTCAAGGAGAGAGGAATGAAAAATAGGGTGAATTTGATATGAAGAGGGAAGTGCAAGGTGATAAGTGATAGGATTAATGATGACAGTGATAGGAAAAGGACTGAGGCGTTTGAAATCAAGTTTGGGACATGGCCTGGTGGTGGAGATATTTCGCCTGAGGAGCCAAACTTTATCCCCGATACTACAAGGGGGACAATCCTGATAATGGACATTAGCAAATGTTTTGTGAGATTCCTGAGCACAATGGAAGTGGAAGGAGATGGAGTTGTGGATTTCCTGGAGGTTGGAGACAAATGCCTCAGAGTGGGGATTTGAACGAGAGGATTCGGATGGAGAAGGAAGTGAGAGATTGAATCGGGGATTTCGGCTAGAGTTTGCAAAGAAGGGGGAAACTCGAAGAGAGGAGTGAACAGAGTTATTATAGGAGAACTCAGTAAGGGGAAGGATATCGAACCAGTCATCCTGATGATAGTTGATGAAGCACCTTAGGAATTGTTCCAATGTCTGAATCATTCGCTCGGATTGTCCATCAGTTTGAGGATGATACACCGAAGAGAGGTTGGCCTTCACTCCAAGCAGTTGCAAGAACCGTTGCCAGAAATGAGAGATGAACTAAGGTCCTCAATCCGAAACCACATCTGCAGAAATCCCATGAAGTTGGAAAATCTCCCTGAATACCAGTTTTGCCATGTCCTCGCCCGAAAACTCCTTGGTACATGGCAGGAAGTGCGTAATCTTTGTAAAGTGATCCACCACAACTAAAATGTTGTTGAAGCCTCCAGGACTTGGAAGATCACTCAAGAAATCCATGGAGATGGATTCCCGAGGACCTGAAGGGACCGAGAGGGAACAAAGCAAACATAAAGGAAGGTGGTGAGGTACCTTATTCCGAGCGCAAGTGTCACAAGAGGTAACAAAAACTTTGATGTAGTCGTCCATGTGAGGCCACCAAAAGTCCTGTGCAACCAACTCATAGGTTTTCGCAATGCTAAAGTGACCAGCAGCCAAACTATCGTGGCACATCATCAGGACCAACCTTTGAGCATCACCTTCAGGAACATAAAGCTGCTCCCCACAGTACAACAACCCATCTAAGAACTTGAACTCGTCAAATCGCCGGTAGTCAGGAGTCACTGGGTGTCCAGCTTGAAGATGGGGGAAAATGTCGCTGGTGAGGTTGTCAAATTGAAGATTGTTTCTTATTGCATCCATCAAGGAGGAGTTTTGAAGGGCTAGGGAAATTGCCATAACTTGAAGCCGATCAAGACCGAGGATAACCTGATCCTGTTGATCAAAGGCAGGATTACCAGGCCTGAGATTGAGATAGGAGCGCCTTGAAAGAGCATCAGGAAGGCCTTAAAGCTTTCCAGGTCTGTACTTGATAACAAAGTCAAACCGACTCAGGAATTGTGCCCACCTTGCCTGACAATGGCTCAAAACTCGGGAAGTGGCAAAATACTCGAGATTTTTGTGATCTGTCCAGACCGTTGTTTGATGGCTCACCCCCTCCAAGAAATGATGCCACTCTCCAAAGGAATCCACGATGGCAAGGAGCTCCTTATCGTGGATTTCATAATTGTTCTTTGCAAGCTGGAATTTCCAAGAATGGAAAGTGACCAGATGAAATTCCTGATCCGCTCCGAGTTAAGACAGCACAGCACCAATGGCAAAGTCGGAGGCATCGGCCTTGATGAAG